ATAGATAGATAGATAGATCTGAATAAATCTGGCATTGTTGTACAATTGTTTTCTCTCTTTTCACAGGTAGAAGAGAATTTGTCCAGAGGCTTAAACTCGAAGGGACACTGAATGTACATGATGGCTGTGTAAGTGGAAAAATAAATGTTTGTGTTGTCTTGTAAAGAAAAAACAAAAAAACCCCAACCACCCCAGATCGTGCCACGTTTCCTGGGTCAGTTTGTGGAGCCTCGGTGTCGGACGGAGAGCAGCTCTTTGACTTAAGGCCAGGTGGTTAATGCCTCTGAGAAACCTGAAGCTGACATAACAGTCACACGTCCTGTCACACTATCAGCCCGATCGGCAGTTCCACCAAAACATCAAAACAACCACAGCGTGAGAGTCCAGGAAGTCCCCTTCAGTATAACACCTAACTGACAGTAAAAAAGAATTTGAGGAACATTTTTATTGCGTGTTATTAATAAAGTAGCTGTTATTAATTATTAGCTGAGATATTAATGTTAACATTATGCACCGTTGGAGGCAGGAAAGTGATTGAATTAGTGCTGAAACTTAATCAATTATCTGATTAACAAAAAGATGATCGACAGTTCAAGGCGTTTAGAGTAAAAACATAAACCATCTAAAACTTCTAAAATGTTTTTTTCTGGTTTTCTCTGTTGCGTATTGTTATAAATTGAATTCCTGAAAGCAATGATGGCCCTTGGTAACATGTCATTATTTCTGTCTAATAATCAAAGATATAATCAAAGAGATAAAAAGCAATCTAAGACAAAGATATAAGCTTCCACTTTAGAGGAGTGGATGGTGTAGCATCTTTTCTCCTCAGAGGTCAGAGAGACTACACCACTGGAGTATTAACTAATAGGGTTATGCAGAAGAAGGCTGCTAAGAGCTCCACTGACTGTATAGATATATCTCTCACTGCTGAAGATACATTAATGTACCCTGGACACTAAAGTTGGTCTGGAGGTCCCTGCTGCAGGGATGACGTATTTTTGTAGGCCAACCGAGACGTTAGCGTCCCCCTGCCCAACTTCCCTGCTAGATGCCACTAAACCCTTGACACTGGTCCTTTAAGCTCGTGTTAACAGCCTTATTTCAGGCCTCTAACTGAAAACTCTGACTTCGAGACGAGGGCACCAGAACTTGTTCCTGTTGCGCTCTGTGTCTGAAAAGTTAAGGAGTTCTGCTGTTTTGGCTCCATTGTGGGAAATAAATATCTTCTAGAAATTGATATTCTCCATATTCCCTTGCAGTGTTGGGTGGAGTCTGTATTTGTAGATGCAGAAAGTAGAGTTCAAACAATGAGCCGATTCACTGATTAGTCCCTTAACAAAAAAATAGCAACTATACTGATTATTGTTTCTCATGTTTTAAGCAATCTCCGATCTGAGTGTTTGCTGCTTTACATGTCGTTGCACAATTTTGTGATGTTTCATAGACTAAATGATTAATCAAAAAAGAAATCAGCAGATTCACTACTAATTATTATTAGTAAACTAAGTAATGATCATCTGTTTTTTGAGTTAGCATTTCTTTTCTTTTGAGTATATTTTTTGCATAGTGCACTAAACAAATAGAGGGACACACCTCCAGATGGCTCCCACCCCACATGCAAATAAATAACCAGTAATACAATTGTGCCTGTCATGACATTGGCTGTGTAAAGCTGTACGCCTCCACCATGTCAGCTGTTGGTTTAGGAGCTGATGAGCAAGAAAGAGTCCCATCAAACATTGCAAAATCAGTAAAAACAGGGAAGTAGCTGTGTTGTGCAATTGATCTGAATCAGTTGCAGGACACAGCTTTCTGTTGTTGGTCAAAGAATGATTTTCAGTACATTCTCAGCTGACAGCGTAAAAAATAATAAATCTTACTAAATGTAGCTTTTACCAAATCTGATAAAATCTGCCCGTAGAAGGTGAATATCGCTGTGCCTCCACGTTGTACCATATTACGCAAGATACTGAAAGATACTTTAAAGAAAGGCATCATGACACTCTACATTTAGTTCACCTCATCCTCTTCTTCGTCTGAATCTGCTCGCCGTCGTCTGTCTGCTAATCTAGCATCACGTGTGGGACGGAAGACATTCACCTACAATCTACATCGCAATCAAATTTTAACCTACTTTCAGATGATGTGCAGCTTCTCAGAAATCGATTTTAAACGTGTTATAAGATTGAGGCTTTCGGTTCAGTTTGCAGGATGTTGTAAATGGACATCATGAGGATGAACTCGCTCATACAGGCCCTGTAATTTCACTGATTGCAGTAGAGGCAGTCTGTGGAAATGAAGAGCAACGGTGTGGTGATGAAACGCTAAATGAAGCCACAACAAGCAGGTGAAATGAAATATTGATCCACAGTGAGAGAGAGCAAACAGTGAACTCGGTGTTCTGCACTGTTCTCCTTTTAGATTCGTGGATTAAAATTGAGTTAAATGTGGGACTGTAGTTAGATGATAACCTCGGTTAGAAGGTGTTGATGAATTAAACAAGGAAATATTGATTTTCTTTAAATTTAAATAGGTTTAGAGGCGAAACAATAAAAATGTTCACAAACTACCCCTCCTCCCCTGATTATCGTCTCATGACCCCTTCATGTTCGTCTTGCGACCCCTCATGATGGTCCAGATGCCAGGTTGGGAATGACTGGTTTAATCATTATAAAATGTCAGAAATTTGTGAAAAATGCATATTTTTACAAAATATATTTGTACATAAAAAGAATATTTTTCCAAACACTAAGATGACTGCTTCAAATTGCTTGTTTTTCATTCATTTACCATGATATAAAATGAGGAAAATCAACAATTACTTACATTTGAGAAGCTGGAATCAATGAATGTTCAGCTTTCTTTCTTGATACATTACTTAACAAATTGATAATCAAAATATTTGTCAATAATTTTCTGTAAGTCATCCACTAATCCTTCAGCACTAATGTAAACTGCAACGTAAATATCTGTGTCTTTGCATAATCCATGTTCTTGTCTGACCACAGGTCAACACTATATCCTGGAGCGACACCGGTGAATATATCCTGTCGGGGTCAGACGATACCTTTCTGGTCATCAGCAACCCGTACAACAAAAAGGTAGGTGGTGATCAATGAAGTGACAGCTTCCACCACCTCTGTTATGGATTTCAAGGGGAATCCAGCCGAATATGACCCAGTGGCAGGCATGAAGAATAACTGTATAGAAATAGCCAGTCTTCTCACAGATGGTCTGGTGTGCTTATTTAGGTCATATAGAGGCATCGGTATGAAATCGAGTCTGCTTCATAACCAGTTAAAGCTCCTTATATCAATGTATATCAATGTATTTGTTTCCTATAAATAATTTCTCATGTTTTGAGCAGTTTACTCTATTAGTTGTAAATAATATTAACCAAAGCAACTTTTTATACCAATGAAAACGCCACATTCTTCCTAAATTGTATTTGGGGAAAGAAATAAACTCATTGCAGAGCACCCAACTAAAGTTCCTGTTTTGAAATGGATGTCGATGTTGAAAGACGGATTTATACTTCTGCATCGAATCAACGTCATGGTTACGACGTAACCTCTGATGCTCCCTAGAAATGTTGGTGAATGGTCCTCCTGGAGTGTGCGTGTATTTCCTGAGAATGGGAAACGACTCATGCAAAACCCAGATGAGTTAATAATGCTGTTTGAGAATCCTTTTTCAAACACACACACACAACCCACACACAACACACACACAAGGATTTCGCTGCCTATACATTGGCCACTCACTAGGCAATTCATGACTCTTCTGTCTTCCCATTAACCAATTCGTATTTCCAGCTTTTTTCTTGCGGCTCCTCCTTTTCTGTAATAAGTGGCTCGCCAGTTGAGAAACAAAAAAAACTAAACAAGGAAATCCCAAGACAGATTGAGAAGACAGATGTGGGAGAGTTTCAGTTTACTATTGTTTGAAGTACACAAAGAAACTCAACACAGTGGCAGACACACCAGTGCACAAGTATAAATGCCCACAATGGCGTACAGCGTAGGCTACAGCAGTGTAGTCTGTGGTTAAGGTCTGAGTGAGGACCTGGAGGATGGTTTGCCTTCGTCAGTAACTTCCCAGTAGAGATGTTCTAATACCATTTTTCCCCTCCCGATACCGATTCCGATAC